ACCTGCTAAGGTCCCGTTTCCAGATGAGATCTGAGGTTTTCAGGTGGACATGAATTTTAAGGGAATACTTTTCAACCCACTACAATGACCCTGGGCACATCCCCTCAATTCCCTGTCCCCTCATCTGGACATGGGGCAGAAATACCCAACTCACCCTCGTGAGAATGGAATCCGTGCACTCACTGAGTCATTCATTCATTCGTCCATCCATTCGCCGGGCGGGCCCACGGCATAGAGTTAGCAGGGAATCAGCAGCTCCCAGGAGCTTACAGTTACTGGAGGGAGCCAGGAAATAAGGACACAAGTCAACCCTTCAGGTCTTTGCAGGTTGGGTTTAGTGCTGGGAAGATGAAGCCGGTGACACTCAAGTGCTGACCACACACGGCTGGTGGCCTGTGGTCGTGCATTCTTCCCGCACGAATGTTACTGCGTCAGGAAACGTTTGCGGGAGTGGTGGATGCCAGGCTGTGCCAAGCCCAGTGCTGGGGCTACAGAGAGGCCGGGGCTGGGGGGACTGAGAAGGCTCCCCGGCTGCTCCCACTTGGAGTCCCCTATCCCCTCCCTCCTCAGTGGCCGGCACATGGCATGTCGTGTCCCTGTGTCCCCGGCAACCCCAGTTAGCTGCCCATGGATCTGGGCCCATGTGTGTACTGGGCCTCCAGCTCCAAGAAGGTCCCGTTCTGAGATGAGGGGCCAGTCCTCATCCCTACACCTGTGTGTGGACCATAGGGTGCCAGCCGTTACGGAGCCTTACTCCTTGGCAGGACTGGATCTGCTCAAATGCTTGAGGTTTGGAGAGCCCAGCAGCCCCCCCACACACACACACACCTTCTAGATGTTATAGTGGAGGCTCCAAACAGGGCAGGAGCAGGGTAGAGGGTGCGTCCACATGGTGCGTGTGACCCTGGTCATGCACTCCCCACAAACCCGCCTCTGAGGTTGGGGTGATTAGTCTGTAATGTTCAGGGCCTGGGCCTGAACCCAGTCTGACTTGAAGCCACTGCCCAGGGACACATGTGAGTTTCTTTCCCAGTGGGGCCGGGCAAGGTGGGAGTTGGGGGTGAGAGTCTGGAGGCTGCAGCCAGCCCCCCTGGCTTGCACTCCCCACATTGTTTCACAGCCAGGTCTCCCAGCTAAGTGGCCAAGAGCACCCCACCCTTCAGACAGCAGGGCTCACCCACCCAGACCTGTGTGTGTGTGTGGGGGGGGACTAGGAGTGTTGCAGAGGGTGGGCGTCCAAACCCCAGGTCTGGAGAAGCTCCTTTCATCACTGCAGCACTCAGGGTGGAACTCACAACCCCCATCTTGCAGATGGGGCTCAGAGAGGTATGGGGACTGCCCAGGTCTAACTCCAGAGCCTGCACATCTGCCACCGCCTCCTAGGGGTCTCTGAGGGGCCAGAGGAAGTTGGTTGAGAGTGGGGGCTGGAGGCTGGCAGGGGCCTGAGCTTGGCTCACCCCCCCCCCACGTCTCCCACACCAACTCCACCCCCTTGCTCTGGGTCAGGCCCTGTGTCCTGAGCCCCCGGCCCCTCTGGCAGTCTTCGTGTGGTCAGCAGAGTGATGGCCCCCAAAGATGTCCACACCCAGTTTCCCCAGAACCTGTGAATACATTACATTACAAGGCAGAAGAGACTTTTCACCTGTGATTAGGTTAAGGCTCTTCTGATGGGGAGGTGATCCAGGTGGGCCCAGGGCCATTACAAGGGTCTTTATGAGAGGGAGGCACGGGGCTAGAGTCCGTGGAGATGTGAGGATGGAGGTTGTGAGGAGCCCGAGCTGAGGGCTGCGGGCACCTCTAGTCGCTGGAAAAGGCCAGGAAACAAACGGACTCTTCCCCTGGGGCCTCCAGAAGGAGCCAGCCCCCCGACACCTTGATTTTAGTCCCATGACTGTGATTTAGAACTTTCAGCCTTCAGAACTTACAAGAAAACAACTTGGGCTTGTTTGAAGCCACTAGGCTAGTGGTCTTTCGTCCCAGCGGCCAAAAGACATGCGTCCACTGGGCTTCCCTTCCGCCCGCCACGCGCCTGGGCCTCTTCTCCCGCCCCCGGCGTCCAGAACCCCCTCACAGCTGGGAAGGTGGGAACGTGAGGCCCCGGCCCCCACGGGAGCACGGGGCACAGCACTGTCCCCGCTGCAGCCCGCCAAGACGGGGGTCAGAGCCCAAACAGAGCCTGCCTACCTGGGCAGGTGAACCTCGGGAGAAAAGCTCCAAGCCTTTGCCTGGCACCCAGAGAGGAGTGGGGGTGTGCAGAAGCCTTGGTGGGGGGTATTTTAAGCCACATGTACTGAAACCAGGGTGAGAGCGATACCTATTTGCTGAGGAGCAGGTGAACCTGCCCACAGGCTTGTTTTCACCCCCCACTTTCCAGAGGGTCAAATTGGGGCCCAGCATGGGGTCAGGATTGGGTCCCGAGACGCCTGTCTCCCTGTGCCTCCCACCTGGGCGTAGGCATCGCTGCTGGGGCAGAGCCGGGCAGTCCCCACGCTCCGTTTCTCAGGGCTGGGTGTAGCCCCCTGGGGTACAGACGAGGACATTAGGGCTCTGGTCACCCCCGGATGGACGGGGTCGAGAGGGGACTAGAACCTGGGCTGTCTGAGGTGGGTGGGAACCAGGGAAGGCACCAACCAGCCCAGGTGGCAGCTAGCAGTGGGAAGAGCCTGCAGGGGCCTGTGGAGACGCAGTGGAGTCCAGCGCCCCGCCTGCCTTCACCCACTCATTGATCCCTTCCACAGGCCACAGGCTGGGAGCCAGGCCTCCACACCAATGGGAGGGGCCCAAGGAAGTACCAGGCTTGCTCAGGGTCCGGTCGGCGCTCTGGGGGTACCAGACAGAGTGAGGCGGGCACCTGCAGGGCCCTGCCCTTCTCTCGGTGTCCTCAGCGGCCTCCCGAGGCCGGATCCAGAGCAGGACGGGGGCCTGAGGAAGGGCAGAGCTGTACCCCCGGGGGCCCCTGCAGCCGCACTGACCTGACCCGCCAGAGGTGAGGCTTTGGGTGGCTCTGCCTAGGCTTCCTGGATGGACAGGTGCGCAACACAGAGAGGTGACGGTGCGCCCGGCTTCCTGGATGGACAGGTGCACAACACAGAGAGGTGATGGTGGGCCCGAGACCCACCCACTCGCAGCTCCTCATCTGCCCCAGCCCGAGCCAGGGTGGCCGTAGGCATGTGCCCCCAGGAGCCCCGCAGTTAGCCCGCGCTCTCCCAGCCTGACTACAGTTCCCCCGCCCCCAGTCCTGGGCAGTTCTGTCCCACCAGCCCCTGGCCAGCAGGTCTCAGCGCTGTCCTGGGCCCCCTGGAGGCTCACTGAGGGTCCTGCACTCCTCCCTTCGCTCTGCCCACCCAGTGCTCAGGCAGGAGCTGGTGGGACTTGGCCCTGCCTGCCTGGCTTCCTGCATGGGAGGCAGGACAGGCCCCCTGGAGGGGCTGCCCAGTGAGGGGGGGCAGCCAGAGGGCGGTGATGGGCCGGCTTCCCCTCCAGCCTTGCCCGGAATCGCCCCGGAGCGAGGCCGCCTGCAGCTTCCCGGGAACCATTGCTCTACCAGGCTGGGCCTGCCCATCTCGGGGAGGGCAGGGGCCAGGGTGGCTGGGTTTCACTTCTATTTTGGGGGGATGATAAGTCACATGAGGTCCTCTTGTGTCCCCACCCTTTCTGTCCCCCAGTGGCTCAGCAAGGATTTTTTTGTTTACCCAGCTCGGACTTTGGAAAGAACATGGAACCTCATCTGGAGAGAAACGGGAAGGAGCGGGGCCCTGTCTGTCCCCTGGGCCCCCACCCCCTGTTTGGGGGGGGGCAAGGTGGGGGTGGGAGGACTCTGGGCCCCGGGGCTCCAGGCGAGGTGTAAAGCTGTGTGGCTCTGGGCAGCCCCTTGGCTTCTCGGAGTCTCAGCGTTCTTCTGCAGCTTGGGGTATGACAGTCGCCGCGTCGTGCGGTGGTTAGAAGGAAGAGAGACAACCACAGACAGATGGCTGAGCTGTGGTGGGTGCTTCTGGGAGGCACACCCCCTTCCTGCAGTCATGCTGACTGACACCCTGACAAACAACCCTGCGGGGCAGGGTGCTGTCTCCCCACGTCGTCTCCTTTAGGTGCTGTAATTATGAATCCCATGGTATGAATGGGGAAACTGAGGCAGGGGTGGCCAGGGCATTTGGCCAAGGCATACAGCCAGGAAGCCCAGAGCTGGGATTCCAAGTCAGGCTTGCTCCTGAAGCAGCCTCGGGGGCTGGACGTGGGGGTGTGGATGGCGGGTGACCCTGGGCTGGGCGGGGCTGCTCAGACACGTTTGGTGAGAGAATTGGAAGGGTGGTAACTGGGTCACTGACGCATCCTCCTGGGGTGACGCTCTGCTGCCCCGGTGCCAGGTCGGGGAAAGGAGGCTGAATAGTGAACTAAATAGACCTCCCCTTCCCAAAAAAGAGATGGGGTCCAATACTCTCCCCACACAGGTGTGAGGAGGAGGGACCTGGCCTCCTGCGGGGTGGAGGGGGACAGGGAAGGCTTTGAGGAGGGGTTGGGTGGAGGGCCAGCCTCCAGGCCAAGGAACAGCAGGTTTGAAGGCCGTGAGGCAGGAGGGGCGGTGGTACAAGTGTCACAGAGGACCCCAGAACCCCTGAGGTGTCGGAGAGCTGGTCTTGTCATCCAGAGCCACATGGTGCAGGGTCACCTCTCAGCTTAGGACCAGAGTGGGCTGGGTTCCTCCAGAAGTTTTAGTGGAAGAGGAGGGAAGACTCAGAGAGGCTGGTAGGAGCGGGTCAATGAGGACAGGATCAGGCCTGGGGGGCCACCGAAGCCTCCAAGGCCCCCCAGGTTCCACCTGCCTATTAGAGTCCCAGGAAGAACTTGGCCAGCCCCCCCTGAGCCTCTCGAGTGGCTGGGCCCCCCCCTCCCCCAGGCCCCTTATGCAGATAAGGCTGGGTGGGGCTGCCCCTGGGCTGGTGCCTGTCCACCCTACCTGGCCCAACAGCCCCCACAGGGCTGGGCGTGAATTCCCAGCTGTTGTGATTCCAGGAAGGCCGCCGCTATAGGACAGCTGGCTTCCTGGCGGCTATGAGACTTCCCGATGGAGTTTTGTCTGTTTTTAGTCTGTAAATGGGGAGCAGCCTTATGTGACACAGTCGCAGGCCTGGGTTCACCAGGGACTTAGAACAGAGGCGAGCATGACCCCAGCCGTGACCCCACGCTGAGGCTGGGTCCCGGCCGTCATTGCATCCTCACAGCACTTGGGAGGCACACTCGTGACCCCCGCTTCCCAGGCAGGAAGCAGGTTAGAGGACACATGTCCCTGGACACAGGAATACGCTGCCTGCCGACGCCAGACCCAAGAGTCGGGCTCCTCGGGTCAGGTGACAAGTGTGTGGTCAAGCCGCCTGGCCCAGCTGGGACCAGCCGCTCAGAGCCTCCCTCACCCACCTGGGACATGGGCCCTGGCCCTGCCCGCTCAGGGCACAGAGCCAGAAGCAATGGCCGGCCCTGGGTCCCTGTAGGGAAGCTGTGAGGGGAGAGCGGGCAGCTGTTGGGCAAGCTCTGTGGCTTCCCATGGGGGGCTCGGTCCCCCTGAGCCTCGGTTTCCTCATCTGAAAAAGTGGCAGCCAGTCTGTGTTGCTGGGAAGGGTGGAGCTGGTGAAGGCAGACAAGGGCACCAAGAGCTCAGTGGCGGCTGTCCACTCTGCGATGTGACCAGCAGTGTGTCCAGCTGCCCCCTGTGCACCAACAATCACCCACTGGTCTGCAGTGGTGAGTGTCAGAGCGGCAACCCAGGTCCTGGGTGGAGGGTGGTGGTGCCACCCAGACCTAGTTCTCACCCTTGGGAGCGTGTGGCCAGTGCGGGGAGGGACTAACAGGAAAGTGAATCAGCAAAGTATAGATCCCACAAATCTACATGGGGAGGGGTGGAGGTCAGGAGGGCTTCTTGGAGGCGGTGACCTCTGAGCTGAGGCTCCAGTATGAATAGCTGCTTGTCTAGTAGACAGGAAGGAGAGGGGCCCTCCAGGCAGGGAGGGCAGTGGGTCCAAAGAGGTGTGGCACCCCCTGGCAGGCCCAGCACCCTGGGATTAGAGTGTAGGATGCCTGGGAATGTGGGGAGGGGCCGCCCCAAGGGGCCTCTATTGCCATGTCCAGCCCTCGCCCTGTACCTGCTGGGCAGGGAAATGGTTGGCTACAGCAGACGGTGGATGTGGTGGGGAGGCAGGTGGGTGTCATCAGAGGTCCAGGCAAGTGAGGAGGGGCCCTGGGCTGGAAGGGGGAGGAGTGGTGCAGCTGAGAGATCTAGGAACAGGTCAGACGGCGGCAGGGTCCATTGGATTTGGAAGGTGAGCGAGCCACGGTGCATTTTCACCAGGTGTTTACCGAGCGGCTCCCTTGAGCCAGGCGCTGGGCACAGTTGCGAACAACACAGGGCCCTGGGCGCTCATGCTCTGTAGCTAGTGGTAGAAACAAACAAGCCACATATAAACGTGCGGTTCCGCAGTGACACGTGCTGTACAAGCCGACGGGGAGGCGGGGTCAGCAGGGGCCGGTGGGGGCACCTTGAAGCCCAGGGTGAGAAAGCCAGTAGGACATGGATGTGCTGAGGGCTGAGAGGCTATCAGAAGGTGGCCTCGTTTCTGGCCTGGGCGTAGAAGGTTCAAGAGCACAGGAAGGGACGCAGAGAGTGTGTGGGGCACAGAGCACATCCTGGGGAGGTGAGCGGGTGGTGCCTGGGGCTCAGGGGAGGCTGGGGCCGCGGACCCAGGAGGGAACAGCTCTGGTGTGGACAGGGTCCCGCGGGGACAGTCAGTCCCTGCCCTCTAGGGCCTGCCTTCTAAGAGAAAGGACAGGGGCCCCGTTTCTGACCAGGTTCATTCTGTTCCTCCAGCAGAGCGGGAGGGCTGAGGGAGGGGGGGCGGGGCTCGGGGTGGCGAGGAGGGGTCTCGGGGCCTCTGGACACCGTGTTTTTCTTTCTCCACTTGCAGCATCCATAACGGGGTGATCGCTGTCTTCCAGCGCAAGGGGCTGCCTGACCAGGAGCTTTTCAGCCTCAACGAAGGTGTCCGGTGAGTAGCCGTTCCGTCCTGTCTTGTCCCAGGCCTGAGTCTGTGAGTGGCAGGGAGGGCTGTGCCAGGCCATGCCCAAGGTTCCACCCGAGAGCCGAGATCAGCAGCCACTGCCCTGTGGACCTCGACACTGTACATGGCTTTCAGGCCTGATGGGCCGTAACCCCCACACCCCCTGAGGACTTCTTTTCAGGGGAAACCGGGTGGGACTTGGACAGTGGCTCAAGATAACACCCACATTCCCCACTGGTGTGGAGTATCAGGAAAGATATTTATTCTGTTAAAGAGGAAGGACCCACCTCCCTAACGACGGGAGTGTCGTTCCTGGAAAAGCCGTCACTGCCAGCAAACGCCCCTCGTTTCCTGTGAATAGCTGAGGAGTGAGCAGTTGTGAAGGAGCCCCGGGTGGACCAGCCTCAGGCCCCCCTGCATTACTGCTGTGTTACAGTGGAGGAGGCCAAAGCTCAGAGAGGTCAAGAGACACGCCCAGGGTCACACAGCCGCTAGGAGGAGACCTGCGCCACCTCTGTGCTGTTCCCCTCCCACCCCAGCCACGCTACCTTGTCTCTGCACCAAAAGGATATCTGGGGAAAACAGACAGCAAACATTCTTATCAGCTCAAGGAAGGAATAAAAGGGTAGTTGGGACGGGTCACCCCACCCCCACCCCAGTAGGGCAGAGCTGAAAGAGCCCTTACAGATGGAAACACGGAGGCCCAGGGAGGGAAAGGAGCTGTGAAGCCAGATGGAAAACGGGCTTGTTGCCTCTGCCAGGCTCAGGCTCATCTGGCCACCCAGGGGTGGGGTCCCAGTAGCCACCGGGGTCTCAGTGGGGCCCAGAGCGGCCCCCTTTTCCTAATATGCCTCTGCTTAGGGAAAAAGGAGTTTGTAGCAAACCTAAAGAATCTGCTGGATGTTTTAAGAACCGAAAATAAGGAAGTGTTTCTAAATTCTTGAACAAAGCACCAGAGACAGCCCTCCAGCGGTTTCTGCACCCTTCCCCGCCAGCGGCATAAACAGCAGTGGTGACTGGCTGTCAGTTGCCTCCTCTCCACAGGGACTGTAACCCCAGACCACGTGTGCTTGTCACCAAGCCCCGGGACCCCTACCGAAGAAACAGGTCAGGGTGACATGAAATGTGAAACTCCTGGCCAGTTAGGTTATTTGGGGCACCTTTTTAGCCAGTTCAAAATTAAATGCTGGGAATCATTAAGTAATAATAACAGGGCTTGTCTATTAAGGGTTTGCTCTGTGCCAGCCTGTGCCACAATCTTTTCATGGCAGCTCTGAGCAGTGGGCACCTTATTGTCTCATTTTATAGATGGGGAAACTGAGTCATGGAGAGGTTGTGGGCTGCTCGCAGTCATGGGACTGACTAGTCAGTGGAGCCGGAACTCGGGCCCCTCACTCTAGAGGCTCTGCCCCCTATCCAGCCCCCACCCCAGCTCTTTTCCATCATGTGGACACATTAAATTAAGGGAACTTAATTGTGCATTGAATCCATAATTGGTCATTAGCTTCAATCCCACGACAGCCTTGTGACCGGAGCCATCGATTGCCCTCGGTCCTCGAGGCTTGTTAGTGCGATTGGAGGGAGTGGGGTCCCTCCTCTGTGCCCTGGCTGGCATGGGTCGGGCCGGGGTGCTGAATAATAACAACTCTGACATCTGGTCATGATGTTTTCCCCCCATTTTATATATGTATGTATTTTTTTGAGCTGTAATTCACCCTTTTAAAATGTACAGTGCAGTGTTTTTAGTATATGCACAAGGTTGTATAACCATCACACTACTTAATTCAGAACATTTTCATCACCCCCCAAAAAAGCTCACCCCCATGAGCAGCCACTCCCCATGACCCCCGCCCCCAGCCTCTGGCAAATACCAGCCAACTCTCTGTCTATGGATTTGTCTATTCTGGACACTTTATATTAATGGAGTCAGTATGTGCGTGGCCTTTCATCACTGGGTCTTTCACTGAACATGGTGCTTTCAAGGGTCACCCACGTTGGAGCACGTGTCAGTACTTCAATCCTCGTTATGGCTGAGTAATACTCCATTGCGTGAAAAACACCGCTTTGTTTACCCATTCATCTGCTGATGGGCACGTGGGTTGTTCCCAGCCTTGGGCTGTTACGAGTAGTGCTGCTGTGACATCCGTGGACAAAATTTTGTGTGGACCTGTGTTTTCATTCCCCTGGGTGGGGTGGAGTGGCTGGGTCATACTACAACCCTCCGGGTAACTTTGAGGAGCCTCCCAACTGTGCCCCACAGCGCCCGCACCGTTTTACATCCCCCTCACCAGCTGTGTACGAGGACTCAGTTTCCCCACCTTCTCCCCAGTGCGTGTTAGTTTCCGCTTTTCGATTCTAACAGTACTAGTGGGTGTGAAGAGCCATCTGGTAGTTCTGATTTGCGTTTCCCTGATGACTCATGACCGAGCATCTTTTCCTGGGCTTATTGGCCATTTTTCTGTCTTGGGAGGAATGTCTGGTTCACCTCCGTTGCCCGTTTTTTCATTGTGTTGTTTTGTCTTTTTATTGTTAAGTTGTAAGAGTTCTTTATGATTCTGGATCGAGACCTTTGCCAGATGCTGAGTTCAGCTCGTCTTTTCTCTCATCCCATGAGTTTTCCCTTTATTTATTTTTTTTGTTTAGATTTTTTTATTGGGGAGCTGAGGAAGGGAAACGGCCAAGTTGTTGTCCTTCAGTCTTAGTTGTGGAGGGCGCAGCTAGCTCAGCTCCAAGTCCAGTCAGCATCCGGCTGGCTGCAGGCAGCTCGTGGCCTCTAACTCCAAGGTGCTGTGTTCAATCTTAGTTGCAGGTGGGCGTAGCCACCATCCCATGCAGGAGTTGAACCAGCAGCCTTGTTGTTAAGAGCGCACGCTCCATCCACTGAGCCATCCGGGCGGCAGCTCAGCTCAGGGTGCCAAGTTCAGTTTTAGTTGCGTGTGGGTGTAGCCACCATCCCATGCGAGAGTCGAACCAGAAACCTTGTTGTTAGGAGCACGTGCTCTCACCAGCTGAGCCATCCTGCCACCTATTGGCAGCTCAGTGGCAGCTCAGCTCGTGTGCAGAGCTCACTGGCCCATGTGGGAATCGAACTGTTGCTCAGAGCTCACGCTCTTAACCAACTGAGCCACTCAGCCAGCCCCGCCTTTTCCCTTTCTTGATAGTGTCCTTTGAAGCACCAAAGTTTAACCTTGAGGACGTTTCATCTGTAGATCTCGTCCTCTTTCTTGACCCGTTCCCTTGACCACCTTTCTTCTGAGTTTTTCTAGATCCATAGAGAAAAACCTTAGAGAAGAAGCCACTATGGGTCTCAGAGGACCTCTGCTTAAGGACCCAGACTTCTTTTTACCCTGATGGTTTCAGGTGGCATTGCCCCTGAAGGACCCATCATATGTCCTACCATCTTAAACAGAACCGAGCCCCAAGTCGCCTGGTTGTGCTCAGCTGTGAAAGGCCACCTGCTGCGTGCGTGGTGGCCCATGCTGCTCCGTGTTCTGCGTTCTCGTGCCCGTCCTGTCCCCACAGGCGTCTGTCCGGGGCGGCCTGTCTCCCAGCACTTGTAACAGCTACTGTCTGCCTTGGGCTGTGAGAACCTTGTGAGTCCTGAGGGCCATGCAGGAGCTTGTGGGCAGGCGCTTGGCCACCTGCTCTGGTCCCGAGAGGCCCCTTCTGCTTCCTCCTGGGCTCCTGGCCCAGACGCAGATTATCCTCCCTGACCCAGCTCCAGGGCTAGGTCCTGCCAGCCCTGCCACTCCCAGGGGCATCAGACCCGCTGGACAGGGCGGCCAGGGCCTCTGCCTTCCGACCCTTCAGCCCTTGCCTGTCTCTTTCCCCTCAGTGACACCCAGGCTGTTCCCCCCACAGCGCCTCCCCAGGGCGCTTTAAAATTCCCAGCATGCACAGCTGCCTTGGGGCTTCCCCTCCCCGTGGGCTGTCAGGGAACCCCGGCTTGGCTCAGCCCAGGCCAGGCAGCCTTCCAGCTGCCGGTCAGCGGGCCCCACTGGGGGCCTCTTCACTTGCCCTCCCAAGCCTCAGTTTCCACATCTGTGGAAGGATTGGGTTCCCCTGTGCAGGGCTTTGGCTGGAGTGAGCCTGTGTGACCTCCTCTCACCCTGCCTGGGACATCCGCTCTCACAGGCCAGGAAGGCGATCCCAAGGCCCTGTCAGCTGCCAGATGGACTCCTAGAGAACTGGCACGGAAGCTCTTAGTCGTGGAAGTCGTCCATGCATTGATGAAGCTTTCATTAGTGAGCACCTGCTGTATGCGGCCTCCAGAGGTCGATGGGAAGCCGTTGGCAGTATTCCTGGCCAAAGGCGGTGGGACCCAGGCTGGCCTGTCGCCTCCAGCCCTGAGGACAGCGTGGATCCGAGGCCTCAGCCATGCTGCTGCAGGGCCTCCCGCCTTCCAGAGTCCACTGTTCGCTCCGCGTGTCGGCGGCTGGGAGAGCCGGTGGGCACAGCCAATAGGGAGGATGCGCAGCCAGCAATGGGGCGGAGTCACCCCCAGACAGGGCTCCATTAGAACCAACCCCGCTTTCCAGCCCTAGTGAGCTGAGCGTGTGCTGGGCCCTGAAGGGGAGACCTTCCCCTGTCCCGACCCC